TTATGGGCTCCACGCGGAGGCCGTCGCACGGACGCTGGTTCCAACCCTGCGTCTGCCCTCCGCGCTTTGCTTCGTGGTCCGCACCCTGAGAGCATTCTGAGGTCTCGTGTCGTCGACGCTTCGCGATCTGCTCCTCCTCGCTCTCGCTGCCACTGGCGCGCTCTCCTGGCCGCAAGAGCTCTGCAACCTCCTGCAGAGCGCTGTGCAGCGCCCGCCGCTGGCCCTGGCGGTACAGCGCGAGGTGGCGCCGATGTGCGCCTGGCGCCCCGGCCGCGCCCGCGGCCAGCACCGCCTCGTCGGGCGCTTCGCTCGAGGCCAGCAGCTGCAGCCTCGCGTCCAGCAGCCGCCGCAGGGCCTGTGCGGGGCGCTCCGCGCTATCGCGCCTCGCCCCCAGGATCTCCACGGTGAGAGGAAGACAAGAACGCATACACATAGACTTCCGCAAACCCGCGCAGGGATCTCTTTGGAGCGGCGCAGGACAACCTTCCCGGGCACGTGGAGCGCGCCCGAGCCGGCGCCAGAGGGGCCGCCAACGAGGTCCACGCCGATCCGAGAAATCGTCGGGGACGAAAGAACGCTTGTAGTGACATTTCTGGATTCGGTCCTTCCCTCGGCTCAGAGAGTAGCCCTGGGCCAGGGAGGGGTGCCCAGCGCAGTCCAAGAAATCCGCGCGGACCTCCAAAGGTGTATGTTCATGTGGAATTATCTTCTTCGACTGGCCCGCAGCAGCCGTGGCGGCAGCGCTCCCAGCCACGGCGGGCCGCCCACGCTGAAGGGCCCGACCAGCAGCGCGGGGACGCCTCTGGCGCGCACGGTTGCGCACGGGACCCCGTCGCGGGCCAGCTGACCTCGCGACAGCTCCGCGGCCTCCTCCCCCGCCTGCTCGCACTCCATCACCAGGCCACCGGACCTGTCGAACGTGTTCCCGGGAACGGCAAAGCCATGGCAGAGCATCAGGTCCTCGTTGCTCCTGTCCGCCCCATAGTCGAACAGGACCTCCTGACCGGCCTCCAGCTCCGCGAGCGTGCGCAACGCCACGACACCACCCCGTGCCTCCCATTGCATGTTGGCGGCGAGCACAGGGGGGTGGCGCAAGGGGGGGGGCAGACGAAGACGGCGGGGGGAGGACTCTTCAGAGGACGCGGACATTCTTGAAGTCTCTGGGGCCCCTCCGATAAGGCCGCCCCCCTCGGGCAACCCCCCTGTGCGCTCCGCCAAAGATAAGCGACCCAACCCCGTGGTTGCACATGTCCTGAGGGGGAGCGATAGTGGGGAGCCGGCTCAGGGGGGGAAACAGCGGTACGTCGCCGATAGATCGGCGATAGGCCCCCGATTGGAGAATCCGTGCGTTCCTGGCGGGGTGGGCTATCGGGCAGCTGTCGGCGACTGGGCCCGACTGGAGGTCGATGCGCCTCTCCGTGAGCCCATCTCCCCCCATCGTTGCCCCGTGGTTGGCCGTGTCCATGAATGGGACCAGGCACCCTTCTGCGGCAGGCGACGCGCCGGGAGCCGCACTGCCGTCCAGCTCGTGCGGGCGCACCACCACGGCCCTGCCTTCGGCAAGCTCGGCTGGGAAGGCCCGGCTCAGCCACATGCTGCGCGCCCAGGCAACGCGCTCGGGCGGCACTGCTCCCGGGACGTCAGGCGACAACCTCGCCGATCATAGCCGGGCCCATCCTGGGCCCCGGATCTTGGGAGGCCACTGCAGGGAGGTCTTCGTGGAAACGCTTAAGGTGAATGAAGCCCGACTGAAGGGCCATGAAGGCGGATTTGCCATGAAGCGGAAGGCCAATGCTGAAACTTTCCTAAGTCGGATTAGGTGGGACAAGTGGCACGCGTGCCCTTACTCTTGCACGATCAGGTCGTGATGGGGACTGGGGCGAGGGCCAGGGGTGGGCCAGGGGAGGGGGGGCGAACGACGACCGCGACGAAATCAAAAGCCTCCGAGCTCCTAGAATACCGCTGTGCAAGAGAATACAAGGCTCCACGGCCGAGGGGGGGAAGGCTAGAGAGGCCAGGGGGGAGGGGAGGCCAGGGAGGCGAGGGGGGGAAGAGGACGAACGACCAGGGGGTGCTCCCCGACCAGGCCCGCGGGGGGGGGAGCCAGGGAGACCAGGGGGGGAGGACGAAGGACCGCGACGAACGACCACAACAACAATGATGACATTCTGCAGCCCAGGGGGGGGGGGGGGGAGGCGGGGAGGCCAGGGAGAGGGGGGTCAGAGAGGCCAGGGGCCCTCCTGGGCCTGGTCAGTCACCCCTCCACCCCCCTGGCCCAGAGGGGGGAAGGCCAGGGAGGGATGGGGCAAGAGAGGGCGGGGGGGAGGGACGAACGACCACGACGAAAGTGAGGGGAAAGGAGCTCTAGAGCAGATTTGTAAAAGCTGGATTTGGTCTGCTGTTTTCGACCATGGAAATACCAGCGCCAATGCTAAATTCAACATCTCATGAGTTGCATCCCAGTGTACGCCCTCATGGATTGGCTCGGGAAACGTGTACACAAATCCTGGGCCCAGGAGCGGCCCGGCCGGGATCGGTGAGGTGGTCAATTGACCACCCCTGGACTGCCTGTCGGATCCACGCCGGAAGCAGATGCCAGACTTGCTCCAGGTCGTCCTTCAGGTCGCTCGAGGCGGCTTGGACGCGCGCGAGGAGATCGGTCCCGCGGAGCTCCTGCCTCAGGAGGCCCTCGGGCCACCCGCTGGGGTCCGGCTGTTGAGAGGGCAACGAGCGGAGGTACGGGTGCCACGCGTGGGAAGTGCAGGCAGCGCCCCAGGCGATGGACAGCCAGGCCGCAACGTCCTGCGAGGCGCCCGCCTGAAGAGCCGCTTGGCCCACGACGCAGTCAGACGCCCTGTCGACTGTGAGCACCAGACGCTGGGGCAGCTCGCACAGCACCTCTCCTGCGCCGAAGGCCCGGGCAGCGAAGATGCCGCGGCCGGCCACGCCGCCGTGCCGCAGCTGCAGGCCGAGCATCATTGCCCCATGCGTCTCGAGCCACGCCGACAGCGCACCTGCCTCCTCCATACCCGCGTCCCTCCTTCAACGAGAAGCGGGACCGAGCTCTTGTTTGGCTTGAGCCAGAACTGCTACAAATGCTTCCCGTGCAGGGATGGCCACAGGGGCGCGTCCCTCCCCTGGCCCGCTTTTCGTTGTCGGCCAGTCCCTGGGTCCGAATAAGAGCCGCGGTAGCCCGCACTGCCACGCAGGCGAATAGACGAGCGTGGTCCGCACCAGTGATGGAGCCTTCGAGTACGTTTCATGTTACGGTGCGAAAGCAGAATAACCGACTGCTGGGCGGGTCCCACAGCAATTCTGCACCAGCCTGCGGAAGATCGCTCGTCTGCCCTGGCCCGTAAGGGCCATCGGGTGCAATCGTGATCACAAACTCGTCAAACAAACCTACCGTTCCCACGAGCTGTTAGCACCTGTGGGTTTCCGTGTGAACGCGCCCTCCTCGTTTGTCGTCGATCCTCGCTCGGATAGCCGCTCCATTCCTGCAGCCCTGGCAAGGCGGTGTAATTCCCACGGCTGTAGCTCCTGGTCAGCCCACCGCCCACTACCTCGCACCCTCGGGAGCCCGAGGCTCATGCTCGTGAATGTGCCCCCTTGTTTCCCCTGGTCGTTTGTCTTTCCTCGCCAGCGCCTGCCCTACACGTGAACAAATCAAGACACATGGTTGTCAACCTGGATTCCAAACAGTGCGTTCTAGCATGATACGTGGTGCAACGATGTGAGGCACCTACGTGATTCGAAAGATGTTGCGTAAGCTACGCTGGGCAAAATAGGTTTGAACATGTATGTGGAATAAGCTACGCGGTGCAAGCTATTTGGTGAAAGCTACGTGGTGCAATTAATGTGTGTTCGCGGTGAGTTGCCCACTCCACTGCTCGCCCGATCCTCCAACACACCCACCCGAAACTTGGCTAGCTAAAGCCATGCGGAAACGATTGCGATGAATGTTTGGAATTGGTTTGGGCATATTTGCAGCCGCGCATGCTCGCGCGCGCAGCGGCCAACTAGCTTGGCGCGACCGACGCGGCTGCTGTGGCGCTGACCGTTGGGCACTTCCCAGGGGGCACTTCAATGTAAGCCGGCGACTTGGGCGGGCGCGGTATCATGGCAGCGTCGGCAACATTAGACGCGATGATGATGGTTGCGATGCGGGCGACGATGATGACAACGACGACGACAAGGCCAGTGACGGCGCCGATGCTAATCACGCCGACGACGATGACGGCGCCCACGGATCGGCGATGAAGGTTGTGCATCGCCCCAGGCAAACTGTGTTGAAAACTGCTGGTGCGAAACCATGTGGTTTAGAATGTTGTTTGGGCGCTCGATTTGAAACGGCCACGAAACCGAAGGTTATTCCCAACCATCCTGTGGTGTTGTGTCCTCGTTTTGAAAAGACGGTCCCTGCGTCCCGTCCTTCCTTCCTTCCTTCCTTCCTTCCTTCCTTCCTCCTCCCCTTCCTCCCCCCTCCCATCCCTTGCCTCTGCACTCCGCCTGTCTTCGTCGTCGTCTCCCCCACCCAGCACGGCGCTTCGTGGCCCCATGGGGAGCTCCACCGAATGCCCCAGTGGCGGTGTCCACATGCGTCTCCCCCACCCAGTACAGCGTTTCGTGGCCCCAAAGGGAGCTCCAGCTAAGGCCCCAGTGGCGGTGTCCACATGCGTCTCCCCCACCCAGCACCGCGCTTCGTGGCCCCATAGGGAGCTCCACCTAAGGCCCCAGTGGCTGTGTCCACATGCGTCTCCCCCGCCCAGCACGGCGCTTCGTGGCCCCATAGGGAGCACCACCGAAGGCCACACTGGCGGTGTCCACATGCGCCACCCCCGCCCAGCACCGCGCTTCGTGGCCCCATTGGGAGCTCCACCTAAGGCCCCAGTGGCGGTGTCCACATGCATTTCCCCCACCCAGCACTGCGCCTCGTGGCCCCATACGGAGCTCCCCCTAAGGCCTCAGCGGCGGTGTCCACATGTGTTTTCCCCACCCAACACAGCGCTTCGTGGCCCCATAGGGAGCTCCACCTGAGTCCCCAATGGCGGTGTCCACATGCGCGTTCCCCACCCAGCACAGCGCTTCGTGGCCCCATAGGGAGCTCCTCTTAAGGCCCCAGTTGGCGGTGTCCACATGCGTCTCCCCCACCCAACACCGCGCTTCGTGGCCCTATTGGGAGCTCCACCTAAGGCCCCAGTGGCTGTGTCCACATGCGTCCCCCCCCACCCAGCACAGCGCTTCGTGGCCCCATGGGGCGCTCCACCGAAGGCCCCAGGTACTGGTGTCCGCATGCGCCCCCCCCACCCAGCACAGCGCTTCGTGGCCCCATGGGGAGCTCCACCGAAGGCCCCAGTTGGCGGTGTCCGCATGCGTCTCCCCCACCCAGCACAACGTTTCCTGGTCCCCCAGGGAGCTCCACCTAAGGCCCCAGTGGCAGTGTCCACATGTGTCTCCCCCACCCAGCACAATGCTTCGTGGTCCCACGGGGAGCTCCACCTGAGGCCCCCATTGGCAATGTCCAGGTGCGTCTCCCCCACCCGGGGGGCGCAACCAAAGGCCCCAGCGGCGGTGTCCACATGCGTCTCCCCCACCCAGGAAAGCGTTTTGGTTCGCGGCCCCATAGGGAGCTCCACCTGAGGCCCCAGCGTCTCTCCCACCCAGCACGGCGCGTCGTGGCCCCACAAGGAGCTCCACCTAGGCCTTGTGGCGGTGTCCACATGCGTCTCCCCCACCCAGCACAGCGTTGTTTCGTGGCCCCATAGGGAGCTCCACCGAAGGCCCCAGTGGCGGTGTCCACATGCGTCTCCCACACCCAGCACAGCGCGTCGTGGCCCCATAAGGAGCTCCACCTAAGGCCCGAGTGGAAGTGTCCACATGCGTCTCCCCCACCCAGCACGGCGCTTCGTGGCCCCATGGAGAGCTTCACCGAAGGCCCCTGCGGCGGTCTCCACATGCGTCTCCCCCACCAACACAACGCTTTTTGGTCCCATAGGGAGCTCCACCTGAGGCCCCAGTGGCGGTGTTCACAAGCCCCGTAACCAGCACCGCGCTTCGTGGCCCCATGGGGAATGCCAGCTGAGGCCCCAGTGGCGGTGTCCACGTGCGTTTTCCCCACCCAGCACAACGTTTCCTGGTCCCCCAGGAAGCTCCACCTAATGCCCCAGTGGCGGTGTCCACGTGCGTCTCCCCATCCAGTACAGCACCACTTCGTGGCCCCATGGGGAGCTCCACCGATGGCCCCAGTGGCGGTGTCCACATGCGTCTCCCCCGTCCAACACAATGCTTCGTGGCCCCATAGGTGGCTCCACCGAAAGCCCGAGTGGTAGTGTCCACATGCGTCTCCCCCACCAAATACAGCATTTCGTGGCCCGTAGGGACCTCTACCGAAGTCCCCAGTGGCAAAGCTCGCATGCGTCCCCTCCGCCCAGTATAGCATTGCGTGGCCCATCGTAGACGATACCGAAGACGATACCCACAACGGCGGTACTCACAACTGTATCTGGTTCGGTCCTTCGCCAGGCTAATTGACAGATTTCGGCATGCGCGCGCGACGACATGCGCGCGTGCAATTCATCCCATGTGTTGCAAAGGATTATCGCGACGTCACGCGCGCAAGGGCGTTCGAAAGATTTCGACATGCGCGTGCGCGAAGCCCGTTTGGTAACATTGTCTGAAAATGTTGAAGCACCTATTGTTTCCTTAAGAATTCGCAAGAACGCGCGCAAAAGCTGGTTTGAAAATCCGTGTTGCGAAACCCTGTCTGTGTGTTTGTTGATAAGCTTTTTGGACACTCGCTGTTGAAATCCGCACGAAGCCAACAAGGTTTTGGAAGGATTTCGGGATGCGCGCGCGACGACGCGCGCGTGTACACTTCGTCGCATTGTTTGCAAGGGATTCTGGAAGACCTGATTTTTGATAAACGAGTGCGCGCGCATAGTATTTTTGCCAAGGGATGGCGGGGGGGGCGGATACCAGCTCGACTGGGATGGTAGAAGTTCAAATTTAGAATGGACGATGGGTCAGAATCACATGCAAATTGCAATACGAAAGGGGAGGTGATGATCCCAGGGGGGGTAGAAAGGAGGATCGATGGTAAGCAAAACATGTGGTGCAGTCCAGGTGGTGCAGTATTTGTATATATATATATATATATGGTGCAACATGTTTGGTGAAAGCCATGTGGTGCAATATCTGTGGTGGAAACCATGCGGTGCACACTATGTGGTGCGGTATATGTGGTGCAAGCCGTGTGGTGCAACCCAGGTGATGCAGTCTACGTGGTGGAATCAACGAGGCTCGCACAGTCAAACTTGCTACCAACATGCGGCGTCGACGGGCGGCGGCGACGGGCGGCGACAAGCCGGCCGGACCGCCACCCAGGCCCAGACGGGCGGCGACGGGCGGAGACGAGCCAGCCGCCTGACCGCCGACAAGGCCCAAGCGGACGGCGGGCGGCGCGCGGCGACAGGCTGGCCGGACCGCCAGCCAGTGCCAGTTCTGCAGAGGACAAGAAAGAACCCCTAAGCAAACAAACAATCAAACAAACAGAAACTGCTACAACACACAGAACGCTCGAAAAGCAATAGCCGCGAGGCACGCACCCGCCACCAGCGGCGCGAAGCTGCAGCAGCGGGCATGCCTGCGGCGGCCACCGTGGACATGACCTCCCGCCCCCTTGGCCGAGATCCGAGTGAAGTAAGGATCGTGCGCTCTGGTAGCATCGAATCGGGAAGTCGGACCAAATCGGATTGTGCGTCGGATCCGTCTGCGTCGGCACGGAGCAGAGATCGAATGGGAGCGACCGCGCCAGGACGCAGAGCAGCGCTGTGCAACATCGGGCCACATCGGATCGCCAAAATGTCGGAAGCAGATCGAATCGAGCAGGCCAGAATCGATATCGAATCGGATGCATCTGAACCTCGGGAGGGTGAGCGGGGGGGCAGAAGAGGGAGGGTTGGAGGGCGATGGAGCAGAGTGGAGGGGAAAATCTTGCACCCGCTTCAGGGAGGAAGACCAATAGGGGA